TCATATAAGTAAGAGATGATCAAATGAGCTTCAAATTCCAATTCAACTGCACCAAGATGGTTGCTTACGTACCCTCCTTCCAAAGGATCAAGTCTCGTGTAGTTCTTCAAATTTTCGTTCAGGGCAATCAATACTTAGCTCAGATGTTCATAAAATTCTTGCAGTAGGTGAACTTCTGAATTGGTAGTAGCTTTGTGAGCTTGTCCATTGGATTCTTCATTGTATATATCTTCTCTAGTAGAATATTGCCTTCTTCAATCAAGTCCCGAACAAAATAATACATCACATCAATGTGTTTTGTACGAGCATGATGAACTGGATTGTGGCTAAGAATATTACACTCTGAATGTCACAGAACAATGTCAGCGACTCTTGATCAACTACCAAGTTATACAATAGGCCCTGCATCCATATTGCTTCTTTCATCGCCTCTGTGACTGTTATTTACTCAACCTCCGTAGTAGACAAAGCAACCGTAGACTGAAGAAACGACCTCCAACTGACTAGACCTCTTGTCAATGTGAATAAATAGCCTATTGTAGATCTACAAATATCTATATCACCTGCATAGTCTGAGTCAGTGTAGCCTACACAAAAATCTGCAATAGTTGACGGCCTCTCAAGCACAAAGTCAATATCAACTGTACCATTCAAATAACTCATTGGACTTTTCAACGCTGCTATTGAATCCTTCTTGGAAGCTGTATAAACCTACTCGAAACATTAACTGTTTGTGCAATGTTTGGTCTACTACAAACCATGGCAACATCATACTGCTTACTATTTTAGCATAAGAAACTGATCGCATATCTTTCCTTTCCTGATCATTTTAGGACACTAGTCTGAACTCAACTGAAAGTGAGATGTAATGGGTAGATTCAACACTTTGCTTGAGTCATGAATCCCAAATTTCTTCAACGCCTCCCAAACAAAAACTTCTTTCGAAAGCCAAACATCTCCAGTCGTTTTGTCCCTGAGAATCTTCGTGCCAAGAATTCTGTAAGCTTCACCCATCTCCTTCATTTTGAAATGTTTGGACAGTTGATTCTTCATCCTATCAACCTCAATCTGACTAACATATGCAATCAACATACATCAATATACAGAAGCAAGTAAATGAACACACTGTTGGCAAACTTTTAAAATATGCACAATGATCATACCAGCTCCTCGCGTATTCCTATCTCCTCATGAACTGATCAAATTTTATACCATTATTGTCGTAACTGCTTCAACCCATACAAATGCTTATTTAGTTTGCAAACCAAATATTTTGATGTTTCATATCTAGAAGGTTGCAACATGTAGATCTCCTCTTGCAATTCTTTGTGTAGTAATATAGTCTTCACATCGATTGTTCCATGATCAGACCGTACTGTGCTACAAGTGCTAAGAGAACACGAATTCAGGGATGTTTGACCACTGAGGAGTTCACTTCATCATAATCAAATTCTTCTCGTTGTGCAAAACCTTTTGCTACTAACCTTGTATTGTATTGCACCTCAGCTTTATGTGATCCTTCCTTCTTTGCATACACATATTAACACCCAATGACTTTCCTTTCTTGAGAAAGCTTCACCAACCTCCAAGGACCATTCTTCCGATGACACTCCATCTCTTCATCTATCCCCACTCTCCAAAGATCACATTTTTTACTTTCTAATGCTTCTTTGTAGTGACAAGGAATTTCTACCTTTGTGGTTGAAAGTGTAAATATAATGTGATCCCTCAACTGTGTTGTCTTTGGGACATTCTGGTTCTTGGTCCTACTTTTAGCAATAGATTCTTGAGCAGGAACCTCATCCTCAACATATTCCTTAGATCCTCCTGAGCACTATCAACATATACCTCACGAGTTACAAGTGAATCAAATATTTGAGTCGAAGTAGACGAACTCTATAAAATAAATGGAGTTGCATCAAAATCTAACTTCTACTACATATATGTGGTCTCATTAAAACTCTACACCTGCTTTCAGTCCTGATTTTTCAACAAGCTAGCCTTGTCAAATGTAACATTCCTG